TACCTCCACCTTGCCCTGGGGTCCCTTCTGTTTCTTTTAGGCCTGGTTCTCTCGCTTTCGGGGGTGGGGGTGGGGGAACTTGGTGTTTTGTACCCTGGGTGGGCAGAGCCAGGAGCCAGCTGCCCCAGAGCTCAGGTGGGGTGGGTGGAGGGGAAGATGGCTGGACCCCTGAGCACGGGGTTTAGGGGAGCAGAGGCTTCCCCTCCTGCTGTGCCTGGAGCCGGGAGAGAGCAGAGCACAAGGTGCCTCTCACTCCTCAGCCTCCCCAGAGGATCAGCCCTGGGGGCAGGGTCTGGGCCTATTCTGGGGCCTGCTGCATTGGGGGACCATTTAGTTGGGGGCCTGGCATGAACCTGGGGTTCAACCAACATTTGTTAAATGAATGACCAAAGCTCAAAGACCGCCACTGTCCTTTCCTGGTGTTTCCCTCCAGTTCCCCACACCTCCCTGGAGAGGGCCTGCTGTGGTTTGAACGTGTCTCCCAAAGTTCCCGTGTTGGAAACTTAATCCCCGGTGCCACCGTGCTGGCAGGTGGGACTTTTAGGAGGTGACTAGGCTGTGCCCTCACGAATGCATTAGTGCTGCTATCGTGAGATGGGGTCAGTTACTGCGGGTGTGGATTCCTCACAGAGGATGAAGTCAGCCCCTTCCTCTCCCCTCTCACTGTCTTCCGCCTGCCCTCACAGACAGTGCGGCAGGAAGGCCCTCACCAGATGCCGGACTCTTGATCGTGGATTTCCCAGACTCCAGGACTGTGAGCCAAATTAATTTTTTTCTTTATAAATTACCCAGTCTCAGGGATTCTATTTGGCAGCAGGAAATGGACTAAGAGAAGGCCCATGGGATGAGGGTGGGACTGCAGTCCTGTAGGTCCCTGCAGGCATCCATCTGTCCAACCATATCAGAGCCTCCTTGTTCCTGTTACCCCTGCAGGGAAGCCCCTACCCACAGCAGCCTCTAACTCCTGACCCCAGGCTCTACCAGCCCCCTGACCCACAGTCCTTCAGCATCCCCTCCCTTCTGGGACAGGCTTCCCTGCACCCCAGGCTAGGCTCCAGGCATGTGGGGCTTATCCCCTGTTCCTCTGTCTGCCCATGCACAGGCTCTGGGTCAGTGCGGAGCTGCACATAGAGGTTTGTGTTCTCCCCTGGTGATGTCTGGGAAGCTGCCCCACCCTCCTGGGTTCCCTGAGTCCTCCCTGCCTATTTGTTTTATTTCCACAGTGTTTTCTTCAACAGCAAGGAGCCTGATTTTGGAGTGATGGCGTTGAGGACATGCTACCCCAGAACGTGGCACCTTGGCATCTGAGAAAACAGCAGAAGCAGGAAGGTCTCGCTAACCTTTTCCCTCTCTTCTCCCCTGAAGCAGGTCATAAGATCCTCATTCCAAAGGTCCTCTCCCTATTCATGGAGGATTGTCCTTATCTCTGAAGACACAGGAACATACAAAGGAATGTGAACAAACAGCTGCTGTGGTTTTAATGTGTCCCCCAAAAGGCATGTGTTGGGAACTGAATCCCCAGGGCAACAGGGTTGGGTGGTGGAGCCTAATGGGAGGTGTTTAGGTCACGAGGGCTCCACCGTCACTAATGGATTGATGCCGATTATGAAGGGGCTCAGGCTGTGAGTTTGATCTCTGCTCTCTCTCTCGCCCTCTCTTTGCCCTTCCATCTTGGGATGACACAGCAACAAGACCCTCACGAGATGCCAGCCCTTGATCTTGGACTTCCCAGCCTCCAGAACCGTGAGCCAATAAATTTCTGTTTATTATAAATAACCCAGTCTGTGGTGTTCTGTTATTACAAGACAAACTTTATTAGTCCGTTTCTGTTACTTATAACAGAATACCTGAAACTGGATAATTTGTAAAGAAATGGAATTTATTTCTTGCAATTTTGGAGGCTGGGAAATTTGCAGTCCAAGGGGTGCATCTCGTGAGGGCCTTCTTGTGGGTGGCCGTACAGCACTGCAGGGTGTCACATGGCAAGAATACCAAGAGCAGGCCAACTAACCTCCTCCCCTGCTCCCCTTATAAAGCCATCAGAACCACGCCCATCACAACCGATCACTCCATTAATGGACTCATCCGTTCAGGCAGGCACGGTCCTCACAATCTAATCACCTCTCAAAGGCCCCACCTTTCAAATACCATAATTGAATTTCCCACCTTTTTAACACTGTTACAATGGGGATCAAGTTTCCAATATATGAACTTTTGGGGACACATTTAACCCATAGCACAGACGAAGACAGAAAATGGGTACTGAGAAGTGGGGCTGTTGCTATAACAAATACCAGAAAAAGTGGAATTGGCTTTTGGAACAGGGTAATGGGTAAAGGCTGAGAAAATTTGGAGGTGCAGCCTAGAAAAAGCTTAGATTGCTATGAACAGAGTATGAAGGGCAATTTTGGTGAGGGCTCAGAAAAAGAGTAGAACTATAGGGAAAGTGTTAAACTTCTTAGAGATATCTTAAGGGGTCATGATCAGAATATTGGTAGAGGTACAAGCAGTAAAAGCCATGTGATGAAGCCTAGATGGAAACAAGGAACAAGGTAAGTGTACTAGTCTGTTCCTGTTGCTTATAACGAAATACTTGAAAGTGGGTGATTTATAAAGAAAATGAAATTTATTGCTTACAGTTTCTGAGGCTGGGAAGTCCGAAGTCCAAATTCCATCTTGTGATGGTGACAGTGACCCAGGGGTCTCACATTGCAAGACAGTAGAAGCAGAGAGAGAGAGAATAGAATCTTCTCTCTTCTTTTAAAGCCCTCAGAACCACGCCCCTGACCACCCTTGTTAACCCATTCACTACTGCACAGTCCTACAATCCAATCACCTCTTCAAGGCTCCACCTTTCAATTACCATAATACGATGTCCACCCTCTTAATAGTCATAGTGGGGACCAAGTTTCTAACACATAAACTTGGGGGATACAATTCAAGCTTCAGTGAGTTTGGGGGGGACATAATTCAATCCACTACATTCTGCCCCTGGCCCCCCAAAACTCATGCCTTTTTCACATACTAATACATTCATTTCATCCCCAAAGTCTTACCTTGTTTCAACTCAAAAGTCCAAAGTTCAAAGTCCCATCTGTTTAGTCAAAACAAATCATCTGTTTCCAAGATACAATGATGGGACAAGCATAGGGTACATATGCCCACTCAAAAAGGGAGAAATAGGCCAAAAGAAAGGGGTAACAGGTCCCAAACAAGTCCAAAACCCAGAAGGGCAGGCATTAAATCTCAAAGCTGGCAAATCATGCACCTTGACTGCATGTTCAGTGTCCTCTGCATGCTGGTGTGGGGGTTGGGTCCTCAAGTCCTCTGGCAGCTCTGCTCCTATGGCTTTCCTGGTCTCAGGACACACTTCAGCTCTCCCGGGCTGTGTTCCCCTCTGGTAGCTCCACAGGTCTGGGGTCTCCATGGCGGTCCTGCTCTCACGGCTCCACTAGGCATGGCGCTGATGCAGTTTTTCTGATGCAGCTCTGACCCCATGTTTCCACTCAGCTTTGCTCTAGCAAAGGCTCTATGTGGTGAGTCTGCCCCTGAGACACATCTCTACCTGGGTCCCCAGGCTTTTCTATACATCCTTTGAAATCAGGGTGGAAGATTGTGGAGGCTCCCAAACCTCCACAGCTCTGGCATTCTGCAAGCCTGCAGACCTAACACCACGTGGACACCGCCAAGGCTTCCAGCTTGTATTTTCCAAAGCTGCAGGTCGAGCCACACCTGGGGCCAATTTAGCCACAGCTGGAGCAGCCAAAGCAGCTGGGATGCTGGTGTGGGGAGCAGCTTCCCAAGTTGGCCCTGGGCATTGAGCCCATGGAGAGCTCCTCAAGCCTGTTTCCTAAGACCATTCTGTCTCCCTAGGCCTTTGGGCCTGTGATGGAAGGGTTGGCCCCAGAGGCTTCTGCAATCCTTCAGGGCCTTTTCCCCTTTTCTTGATTACCCCTTTCCTTTGTACTAATCTTAGCTAATGGTCGCTGGGCTGCACCACTGCATGCTCTCTGCTCCTGTACCACATGGCCAGGCTGCAAATTTTCCAAGTCTCTACACTCTGCTTCCCTTTTAAGTTCTGGCTTTATGTTATGCCTTTGCCACCATAACTCAGCGTAGGCTGTTACAAATAGCCATGCAGTTTCCTGAATGCTTTGCTGCTTAGAAATTTCTTCCACCAGATACTCTGGTTCACGACTCCTAAGTTCCAGCTTCCATAGAGTCCCAGGGCATGGACACAATGCAGCCAAGTTCCTTACCGGTTCGTAGCAAGGTTGGTCTTTGCCCCAGTTTCCAATAACTTTCTTCTTATTTCTGAGACCTCCATAGAAGGGTCTTTACAGCCCATATTTCTATCAGCATTCTGATCACCACCTTTAACCAATCCCTAAAATTTTCCCTGATTTTCTTGTTTTC